CCTCCTGTCACAGACATAAGTATGGGAGCGAAGGTCAGACATCCTCCCATTTCTTCCTCCAGCACTTCATGAATGAAATCCCTCCCTGCTGAGCGGTGAGTCCCGGATATCGTTTAGATTAAGTCTGCAGTCCTCCATGTATTCTCACTTGTGTTTGTTTTATAATTGATTTATTCATCCACTTTTCTTTCAATAATAAACTATTTAATGTGCAATTCCTGTGAGTTCCTGTGATGAAAGATTCATACTGTCGATTTTTAGTTTTCACCTACACTTTAAAAGTCTTCATCTGAAAGCACTGGTTTGGTTGGCGCAGTAAAAACAACATTTTCCTGTCTGGTTTTCTAATATAAAATATGAAGAATATTTAATTTGACTGATGAGGGTCATTATTATAAAGATAGTGTTTTTGTTTGTTTGGTAAGTACATGTTAAGTACATCTTGTCAGTCAGAATGAAATATCCTGATGTAGAGTACTTTGAAAAGTGCACTCATATGTCATCATAAACCACATTATTATGATTTACCATTTAGATTCATTCTGAAGATGTTAGATATTACCAGGCATCTGAGGAAAAGTACAACCGGGTCATGTACAAACAAATGTTTTCTTTTTCACAGATTTGACACCACATAAAAAAGAAGACAGTTAAAAAAAGGGGAAGTGGCAAATTTACTGAATCTCAAAACTCAAAACTGCTTTGTGTGGTCACACAGCTTTCTCCTTCCCATTTTTATTCAACCACCAAACCTACAACTGCTTTTAAGAGAAGCACATTAAATCACATTTTTGACCATCTTTCCCACATTTTCACACCGACTCATCTATCTGGGTGAAACAGACCAAAATGCCACTGAAGCAAAATGACATGTTAAACATGACGACCAACGTTTACCATCCAACCTGACAGAACTGGAGAGGATCTGCAAGGAGGAATGGCAGAGGATCCCCAAATGCAGGTGTGAAAAACTTGTTGCATCATTCCCAAAAAGACTCATGGCTGTATTAGCTCCAAAGGGTGCTTCTACTAAATACTGAGCAAAGGGTCTGAATACTTATGACCATGTGATATTTCAGTTTTTCTTTTTTAATAAATCTGCAAAAATGTCATTCTGTGTTTTTCTGTCAATATGGGGTGCTGTGTGTACATTAATGAGGAAAAAAATGAACTTAAATGATTTTAGCACATGGCTGCAATATAACAGAGTGAAAAATTTAAGGGGGTCTGAATACTTTCTGTACCCACTGTATATAAAATCACCACTACAAGGCCGAGAGAACAAATTATCAAGGCAACACGATACAATACATTTTCTCAACTTTTGACTACTTTTGTTGACTGTACTAAGGTTTGTAAGTTTAGGCAAGAGTTCTGCCAACTCTAATCTTCTCATTTACCTAATTATATTCCCGTGAGGCTGTCAATTAAATTCTTGTTTCAATGCCATGCATTGCTACTTTAAACAAGCCCTGATATTCTTGTTGAATAAACCTATAATTTTGCTTCGGTGAAATAAAAGCTGTGCTTGAGACCTAACTTACATTTTTGTGTCTTATCTGTTAGTCCTCATGGTTTCAACGTTCAGTTGTGTGGACTTCATTTATGTTTACGCATTGAGCATTCCTTAAATACAATTACAACATAAAATTTCCTTTATTTACAAGAAAGGACTGTTTACTACGCTACAACACAATAAATAAAGGTGTTGACATTTTGTTTATTCATTTGTTTACCTCACTTAAGATTCCCCAGGTATCATCCATCGGAAGTGAAGCAGGAAAATATGTGGGTCGCCTCTGAGCTTCAAAATCAATAGTAGACGTACGTTTGCTTTCAAAATAAAAGCGCAGCATTTGCCATTAGGCCTAGTGTGTGATAGCTAGAAAATTAAAACATTTATCGAAATGTAGCAACATTACCAGGTGTAAGTTAAATCTGTAAAACTGTTGTCATAAAGGATCTTCAACTGGATTAAGGCATTTTCAGTGTTATATTTAACATGGTATATTGTTATCTATAGATATACATAACATGGCATATTGTTTCTCAAACTGCCTGGAAAAAAGGGCTATGTGTATGAGGCATTGCGGTTGCAGAATTTGCGGTGACAATATTACTTATTACAAACTATGAGATGTATCATGAGATATGCCTAATCAATCTGACAGTCAATACAAATCAGTTCTGTCACGATATTATTCTGAAAACTCACAGGATGTTGCTAGCTTATTCAGGACGCCTTGACACCTGACAACCGACAACATCGGGAGCAAATCTCTAATATTTTCAAGGCTCATTGTTTACAGAAACGTGTGAGGATGTTTGGAAAGTTTACACAAACTCTTAAACAGTCTGCGAGTTCACTTGTTCAGGTGAGAGGTTACAGGAAGATAATGTTAGCATATCTTCCATTGTGAAATTTGCCTAAACAATACCGGTATAGGCTAATGCATATTAAGCTAAAATTGGCCCACAGCTACCTTTTCTTATCTGCGTAATTACTGATGTGGGATGGACAGTAACACTTCTTCAGGTCAGGGTTTTGGTGCTAGAATAACTCACATTGCTTACGATTTGGAAGCAGCAGAAGCACAGACGTCGCAGCTGAGTTGCTTGCAGCCGGCGGACACAGCCAGTCTGTCCCCATGGCCACCGCACGCTTCCCCGGAAAAGGTGCGGACGTGGTCGTCGCCAACTGGACCGCTCCAGCGCTGGGCAAGCCACTGTGTGTCAACGGGACCCGATGGATCCTTTACCTACTGGAGGAGTGTGTGGAAAATATGTGGGAATACTTCAGCGTGGTGATAGGACTCGTATCTATGTTGTGTTTTCTGCTGTCCACTTTGCCGTAAGCAACAATGATTGTGGTGTTTACCATCCTATTAAAATGTCTGAGGTAAAACTCACATCCATGTATGTGATTTGTCTTTTCATCTATTCATCCAGGCAGGTCTGTGAGGCCTATCGCAATGGTAAAGTGGAGGAGGCCATGTCTTTTGGCTTCCTTTGTTTCCTCTTGAGTGGAGACCTGACCAGCTTTGCAGGGTGCTTGCTCACCAGCCAGCTGCCTATTCAGGTAAACACTCACGGCAGCCTAGCTCGACTCATTTTTAGTTGGTGGTGGTTAGTCTGTACCACAAAATCTGTTGTTAGTGTACTGTGGTGGTGAAGTCACATTTATTTTGCATATGAGCTTTGATCAGCGCTGTTTGACATGTCCAGGTGACTTATTTAGGTCAGTCACAATGAAATTCACATTTTGCTAGAGTTAATTATTCTGACTTGATGTTTGGATGGAATAAATTTTTATAGGACGAGGTTCTTCAGGTTTTCAGTTTTAGGGACTGTTATCTGACATGAGCCATTCAGTCCAAGAGTCCAGCTACAAATATTTATTGGTTGTGAAGGTGTAAACTTAAAAAAAAAAAAAATCACATTTCTGTTTGCACTCTTTCAGGTGATCACAGTGGTGTTCTACATCTTCACAGACCTGATCCTCATCTCCCAGTTTCTCTACTACAAGATCAAGAACAGCTCCAGCAGAAGTAAGCCCTGACATGTCTCTCCTCTTGAGTTAAAGAGCAGGTGAGTGATGCCCCTACTATGTGACTCACCCATGTCATAAGCCTCCAGATTAATGAAAAGCACAGCTATGAGGGAGAAAGTACTCCCTGTTGTTGACTCAACAACTTTAATTTCAACCGCATGAGGCTGTAAGACACTGACAGCCTTACATATGTAGTCATGTTAAAAGTCAAAATGTAAAATTCTGTCTTAATCTGTTGTAAATAAATGCAGCCATGTAAACTATACACAAAATATCTAAAAATGAAAACCTACAAATCTGGGATCACTGCTAATGTATCACTCATGCTCAAGAGTACATAAATTATTATGAGCTTACTGTAATATTGTTGGGGCAGTAAGTTGATAAACAATCCTGCTCAGTATGTTTCCTTGGTCAAAGTTCTTTAAAAAGAAGAATCTAAAGGATCTGTATCAAGATCATCTGTTTATCAGATTTTTTAAAACTCTCCAATATTAATATTTTTATGGGTTTAAACATGCAATCCAGCAGGGCTATATATCATTGTTCTTTGGGTGGGATCAACACAGGCACAAATGGAATCCCCGTGCTGCATTGAAGTCAACAGACCGGTCACTTGCTGACTTCAGAGATGAGAGAGACAACTGCAGTTGTTATGTACTTGCGCAACTACAGTACATAATAACACATAGTTATACAGAACCTTTTAAAACCTGCACACAGTTATGCAGTCTGGTAGTTTGTGTGCATCCTTGTCAATGATATACAGTACATAGCCAGAGGCATTATGTTTTCAGGTTATCTGTATGTTCATCTCATTATTGTGAACCTGACAGCTCAGGAACGCCTTGGGGATATTTATTTCCACCTGCATTCAAGAATGAACTGATTCTCATGAGCATGGTATCTCAGGAACGCCTCGAGGGAATTTCTCCAAATTAAAAACACAACATTTTTGATTAAAGCCTTCACTACATACTGTATATTACGCAAGTCTGTACAAACTGTAAACTGCAACTTGATTGGTTGGCAGACGTACAACCCCAAGGGGGTAATATGCAGCCTTTGTTATTTGCCACTCGTAATGTCAACAATACAGCATTTTATATGTTGCACTTAGTCTCTTTGCAGTACCTACTGTATTACACTACGCATACAAATGTCAGCTAATACTAACAATTAGATTCTCTTTGGGGGATGATTTGTTTGTAATTGTCTTCACTGTCAGTTCTTTGTTTTGTGTTTCTGTGTGGCTGTCCTCTAGAGAACCCGCTGTTGAAGTGGCTGTGTTTCATGTGGTGTGGTGCTGCTACGTTAGTCCTCCTGATGGTACTGAAGCTTGTCATAGACAGTAGTACAACCTCAAATGCTCAGGTAGGTAGATTATATGTAGGGTACTTTGTATATTTGTATTTTTGTGTGGGTGTGTGCAAGGGTTAGTTTCAAGTGTCCATATACCAGATTTTTTTTTTTTTCTCAGAGTCCAACTATCTCTAAATCAGTGGAAATCACTGGCTATATATGTGGATACCTGGCATCTATCTTTTACCTCTGCTCCCGTTTCCCCCAGCTCTATAAAAATGTAAGTAACAGTTTGTGCATCTGAGTCAATTGAGATCTGGAGTTTGTTTCTATGGTTTGCGTGTGAGCAGTGCCATCCTGAGGGGAGGTGTTGATCCCAGGGGGTCCATGAAAAATTGTACTTATTATGCTGTATGTCAGTTGGTCATAAACAGGGATTGAGTGTGTTTGTGTTTGAGGAGGGAGGTGGAATTTGTGCATTTGTGTCTACAATATGTGTGTCAAAATGAAATCCAGCGACTGAAGACAATGGCACTGTTGTGGTGAAGAAACATCCTGGCCCCAACGTAGCTATTAATCACCAGAGGGGATCATCTCACTGGGCAGCCATTGCTTGGGAAACACACACACACACACACACTCACACACACACTCACAGGCCTTGACTACTGTAAATCATGCAAGTCAGATTTGCCCAGGGGAAATTCCTGCATGTTCAAACAAGTTTGTTTTTTCAGCAGAAAGTGCAGAACATTTTTTTATACCATTCCTTGTGGCATGTTACTCATCCAGTTTGGCAAAACAATAAAAATAGCACAAAATGTTTACTATTATGTATTATTCCCGTCAGTATTTCTATGACAAATACCTTCTGTTTGCTTAGTATTGATTTGGCACAGCCCGTGTTGACACTTTTAGGGACAAACTGAACTCAGTAGCTACAGCAGAACATAACCTCACCCAATAGTCCACTAAAGTTAAAATGTTTAACTAGTTTCACAGTTTGACTTGTAATGGAAAGCAGTGATGAACTCAATCAGAGTCTGTATTTCACCTAGAACTAAGTAATCTGTGTACTGTAATCATTTACTTGCTATTAGAATGAAATACTAGACTATGCACATTAAATTCTGTCCTTTGTAGTTTCAGCGACAGTCTACTGAGGGCACATCTTATCTGTTGTTTGCCCTGGCTATGATGGGCAATGGAACATATGGGCTGAGTGTCATAGTGGTCCTGCCTGCACTCGGGGGCTCCAAACAAGCCTACATCATCAAACACCTGGCCTGGCTCATTGGAAGCCTGGGAGTCCTCATACTTGACTTCTTTGTATCCTTTAAGCCACAAGCTGCCTGTCTAAAAGTAGCTGAACCTGTTTGACCTGCAAACAAGAAGACGGAAAACATAGCTTGGGCCTATCACTCTTGGTGTGGGAATTTTACCTTGCACTGCAGGCCTATGTAGTGGCTGTGTGATGTTCCCGTGTAAAGATATGTATTTAATAACTTGTATATTATTCCCGAAAATAATCCCAACACAGACACAGTATAGTTATTCCCTGCAATGTGGATTTGCTGCCTGTGTAACCTCCTGCTCCTCTGGTGAAGGTGAGGATGGGCAGTACTGGGCTCATTTTTTGGTGATGTGATGATGGACTTCCATCCACTCATCATCTGTACTGCTTATTCATGAATAGGGTAGTGGGTGGCTGGAGCCAGTCCCTGCTGACATTGGGCAAGAGGTACACCCTGGACAGGTCACCAGTCTATCACAGGGATGACATGTAGACAAACAACCACACACACTCACATTCACTACAGGCAAGTTGGTCCTTGTCCTAAAGTACAAGGTAAAAGTCCCACTCCAACAGTGTAGCTCCGATTACTTATTATTAGCAATAAGCTAATCCATGTGAATGCTACATATATCAGGATATCTCTCTTCACTGTTGAACTGACAGTTAAGTTAATATCTGTCATAAACACCATTTCTCATGAGAATTCATATAAGTGTGGGAGCGGGTGCAGCGGTCACAGTCTGCACGTGCACACAGTAAGGACAAGTCAGAAACCCACAGACAGAAAATCAGAGTAAGACTTGTTTTGAAAACAGAAGTAATGCACAATCATTTTCCTTTTTTATGCCTACAAAAAATGAAATACGGAACTGTTTATCCATTTTTTTTTTTTGCAGGTTAAATCAGGCGTGGGTCTGAATGCCACTAATGTGCATTTAAAGGACTTTTTGAGGAATTGCTTGCTTTCTTGTTGTTTGATCAATGAGAAGTGCAATATCACTCTCATGTTTATCTGTTAAACATAAAGCTACAGCCAGAAGCCGAGTAGCTTCACTCAGCTGAGCCTTAGCATAAAGAAATAGCTAACCTGGCTCTAGGGGTGCTGTATATCCTGGACTCATGTCCTAACCGTGCCATGCAGACTGCTCAGTCAGCAAAGAGAATGCCACATAACCTCCTGTAAAGCCACAGATGGTTGTTTTTACACTGTGGGTTTTGTACTAACACGTGAGCTGTAATGTGTCAAACAGTGAGCTCTAAATGTGCAGGCTGGCCGATAAGCTACCTTTAGAAAGAACCAGGCAAATTTACTGTGAATTTTCATTTGTAATGCTTTGTAACTGTGGTTTAGAGACGTGCTATAGAAATAAAATTTCTTACTAATTGTTTCCCTCTGCATCTTTATGCTGAGGTAACCAGCTGCTGGCTGTAGCCTCATACATGTACAGTATATTGAACTGACAGATATGAGATCTGTATTGATTGTCTCATGTAACACTCAGCAAGAAAATGAATTCATGTATTTTCCAAAATCCTAAAATATTATTTAAAAAAAGACAGTCTGTGGTGTCTGAGAGGGTTAAGCATGAGTATCAATCATGCCTTCATGTCAGAGAGACTTTATATAAAGGAATATTGGTAAACTGTTTGTGTCTGAGCCTTAACCTTGTCAGGTGACTGCCCAGTTCATCATGTACAGGAAGAACAACTTTGGCAAAAACAGCGCACTACTCAGTGTTCCAGAGGTGGAACCCCTCCTGCGTGAGGAAGAGGAACTGTCGGTGTTATAGGACACAAAACCAACGTGGACACTTTTATCAAGAATGGACTAGTTAGTCTAGTTGTTTGTTCTTAACAGTTCAGTCTCAGTTCACAGGATCATTGTTTTACTAATAACAACTTGTGAAAACAGACGTTGCACAAGTGTTGCTGAAATGAGGAACCATTGGAACCAGAAGGTCATTTCAGTGCATGGTTACAGGATGATTATCTGCCGTTAAACGGACAAACACCATGATAATGTTCTCTGTGGTATCTATAGTATTAAAATCTGATCAGTACATTCTTCTTAACATTGCAGCTTATGTTAAGTACCACTTCACAGATGAACTTCATCTCTGTAGAATCAGACCCTTTGACACATGTAGCTCACAACAAGAGACAGTTCATGTCAGACACATTTTCGCCAACTGGAACTACTTTGTTTGGTTTATGTGATTGGGGGGACACCTGGGGAGAGTGTGCAGGAGGTGGGACGATGCGGTGTCACAGCCAGTTTGTAATTTGGTTATAAACAACCGAGTCTCTTGTCGTTCATTAAAGTTGTCTGACGATTCTGATGCTGGCTCTTAACGACAGAAGTTCCTGAATCACCTCCAGATATTTTTATTGCAGTCTTTGTTGTAAATGACTCCTTCTTCTTCTTCACTGGATGTTTGTTTTCTTCCAGTTTTGTACTATACTCTGCTGTATCCTCACTTGGGTTCACTCTGACTCGCTCAGACTTTATGTGGACTTTGTACTAGGGAGCTGGTAGGGTAAAGTCCGCTTAACATCCGGGTCAAGTGACTCAGACATTTGCATTCTCACGTAGAGCCCTTCTGGGTAATGTCTAGAGAATTTCAGGGTTCCAGTGCATGTCTGAAAAGGGCTACTGTTTCCCTTCCGGCAAACGTTTCAGCACCACTTGTCTTTTTCTGCTCATTAGTGACTTTTTTTGATTAATTATTTCACAGGGATTCCTTGATTTTGTTTTGAATGGACTAAATGTATTTTTAATTGCGAACAGGGACCATACTCAACCACAGGAGGAACCTTCATGCCAGATGACTTTTCACAAATGCAGACTTTATTTAAGACTTAACTTTATTTATTTTTACCCATTTTTGGCAGGGTAAAGGCTGTTGCAGAGAACAGTAAATTATAGTAGGACTCTGTTCACATTACAGGCACATTAATTACATTAATGCTCTATCCTGAATTTTTTGTCAGATCCAGTCTTTCTATGTTGACGATTACCAGGCATGTTTTCAGACAGCAGTCAGATAGTCAGAGATCGGGTGTGAATCAGATCTAGGACTACATATGAAACTCGCCCAGATCTGAATTGAGAAAAGAAAAAAAAACAGAACACTTTGGCTTCTTCACAGTGAAACAATCAGATCTGAGTCTCTTTGGGGGGGAAACAGGCTTGCATCACTTCAGCAGGTAGGACACATGGTATGGGGTGTTAGTTCTCTTACTGTAACCGATTTGGTAATATAAGTGCATCCATTTTAGACCAAACTAGTTTTTAAATTGATAGGCTTCTAAACTATTCAGTGATTTACTTAAGCCATTATTTTTCTTAGAAAATTTAAAAGCATCTTTCTGTTTAGATTTCCATGTATTATCTGTTCCGTTGTTGTGTGTAGCATTAACTGTTTTCTTCCTCTTTTGTAACATTTGCATGACATGAAAAAACATTCGTTAAACAGCGAGGAACAGAAATTGAAACACTTTAAAGCAAAGCAGATGCTTTTGTGAAGTCAAATTATTTTTAAATCTGTTTTGCCTGATTAACTTTATTGCAGTGTAACAAAACAAACTGGTGACAGCAAAGGAGAGTAAAGACTGAACAAAGTCATCTCACTAATGAGCAGTTCAAGTAGAACAAACGTTTAGTGTAACTAATAGCTCGTCACTGCTGTGCCAGATGTTGCAATGCATTGTGGATGTGGCGGTGACACTGTTTAACCTATCACCTGCGTAACTACAGTACTATACCTGCAGAAATCAGCAGATTCCTCCACCTCTTTGTAGTGTGGACATGATTCATTTCTCCCAGTGTGCAGGAAGAGCTAGCATGTAGCACAGTGCTCCATAACATTTAATTGATAGCACCTAAACTGCGTTTCAGAAACTCATAGCTATTGAGTCTGTGTTGTTTGCTATTATCACAGTAATGATATTATGATGAACAACATTCTTTTCCATCCTTAGCCAGTCAGCTGATGCAATATTGTTGATTTATGATGAGATGCAGAGTTGTTTGCTGAAAGGGTAATTTATTTGCAAATACTTAATGTACATCCTTTTCACCAGCAAATTAAAATTTGGATCATTTTTTTATTACCTGATTGATACTTCAATTTCTTCTCTATTACTTCCAAATGAGTCTGATATGCTTTTTTCAGTTTAGCCCAGAAATGTACCTACAGAGGTGGTTAAAAAGTACTGGTACCCTTGCACCTCATTGCTTTTCCTGAAAAAAATGTGTCTTTTGTCATTTATGCTTTCATGTCTTTGGTGTTCAATAGAATATAAAAAGAAGCAGCTGTGATAAAAAGCTGTCTTTCTTATTCTACAAAGAGCATTTCCCAAAAATGGCTTGAACACTGCACCACTTAGAAGTAGTGATAAGATTGTCTTGTGACAGGTGGCTTCAGTTTGGTATCACTGTGTACACCACACTGAATGTGGACAAAAGAAAGATGAGAACAAAGTGTAGGTGAGGAAGACAATAAATTCCAAGCACTGTCAAGATACAAGACCATTTCCAAACAGCTTCTTGTGACCAGTTGGCAATATTATCTGGGACTGCAGCCAACCTGGATGTGGCCACAAGAAGAAAGTTGACCCCAGGTTAAAAAGAAGAATAGGTCAAATGGTTGAAAAAGAACCAAGGAAAATGCAAAATAGATTCAAGCTTAAAGAGGCACAGCAGTATCCAGTGAGCCCATATTTCACTTTGAATGAAAGCGAGCTCCATGGAGGCAAAGCCAAGCAGAGCTCACATTTGAAAGAGAAGCATAAAATGTATGAGGCTCATTATGAACTAAAAAAAAAAAAAGTGCTGGGTAGGTCACAAAAGGGTGTGGTACAAAGTATTTGATTAAGGGACCCATTTATGTACCATATTCATTAGTTATATTTAAAATAATGTTGCACTGGAAATCAAAAGCAGCATGTTTGATGAACTATGTAACAGAAAATAGTGCACGCTTATTAAAGTTTGTACTTTAATGGTGTTGACACTATTGCTAAGACGAATTCATTTTCTATGAGCATAACATCTATTTGATCCATTTTTATGTTAGTAGATTTTTCAGTTAATTATGATAAAAATGCTTTGCACACACTTTGCTGTGCATGCATCCATAGTACTACAATTAATAAATTGAGGTGTTACTTTAATGCTACAAGTGTATAACATTTGTTTATTCATATCATTTAGGAGCTTAGTTAATTTTTACATCCTTGGACTTTGAAATCACAGCAGCTTGACTCAGAGCTACTGATGGCTGGCATTAGTGTGTTTTAGAAAACCTGTTGCCTACAATATTTCTGTAGATGGCACATTCTGGGACTTTGGTTATTTATTTGCTCAGCATCTAAAGGTGTCATCAGAGGATTACAGCAGGTCTTTGCAGAGCGGAAAACTCCCAAGTCTCCAAACTCTCCACCCTCACTTTCCCAGCCACTTTTTGATGGAGCTGTCTGGCGACCAATTGATAGGGTGTGTTCTTTCAAGGGCGGGAGCAGGGAAATTTGTGATTTTTTTCGGAGGAGGGACTTCCTTTATAGTTGTAATCGGATGGCAGGCAGCTTCTGGGCTGCTTGACACGTAACTAAAGTTAAAGGTGCTATGGGAAGGCCTTCTCGGAGACTCGAGGTTGTACTTTTCCACAACCCTCTTTGAATTGCATCGGAAAAGTGCGCAAGGGGAAAGGAAGACGCAAAAAGGCGTCAGCCTCGGGTTGACTTGCATTTCAACAGTGCAGACCAGTTTGACGGGAAGTCAAAGCGACAATCCAAGCGGCTACTTTGAAGTCACGGGGGACAGTCGCGACTCGGTGTGGCCGTGCTAATATAATGTATACATAAACAAATGGTAGTACGTAACTCGTGTATTGTCTACATGGAAATGCTCGGGGAGTGAGGGGAAGGGGGTCTTCGTCAGTCTTCACCGGGAGGTGAAAAGTTGAGTCGGACGTTTCCAGCAGCAGACACGGGACTTTTTCGAGCAGACCACGGGTCCAAAATGGGAAACGGGGTGTGCTCCCGGAGGCAGCGGAGGATCTTCCAATGTCTCCTGATAGTCACGGTGGTCTGTGGCGTGATGTACGGGGGCATGTTATCGTATGAGACGCAGCAACAGCTCAAAAGGACGGAGGCAATGGCACTGAAGTACCAGCAACACCAAGAGTCACTGTCGGCGCAGCTCCAAGGTAAACAGTGATGTGGTTATCCGTCTCCCTGCAGGTGACAGAAGTGGGCGTGAGGGCACATTTATCTTTAGAATGCTGGAAATGTAACGACAAACTGTACCGAGAAAACTTTACATTGTTGTGTTCGCTTTCTTTAACAGAGTTAATGGCTTAATACGATTCGTCAGTGTTTTGTCCTTTCATTTTAACCACATAGCCTGCACAGTGGGTGGTAGTAGCATGCAATGCCATCCTCAGATTGAAGCTGAAACTATACCGAGATGAGCAGTCAGAGGTCTGGTCTAACTGGGCTTCACTGACGTTGACTTACCAAGAACATGTTTGACCTTTGACCTTAGGTGGCCTTCTAATCCTGTGATAAAGCAGCAGACTGGGATTTAAAGTTCACCTGAGGTTACAGTTACACTGAAAATGGGAACTTTTTTTTTCCTTTGCATCTTTGGAAATGGTCACCATTTACAAGACAATGCTATCAAAACTCAGAAAAATGGTGTAGTTGGCTATTTCATTTTGTAAGGAAACATTACACACTTGTGCATAAATGTTTTAGTCAATGCATTGGTATTTACATAAACCCTAACAGGCATGCGCAAGAGGTCACAGTTGTCAGGGGAAATGCAAATGCATGTTTACACGGTGACAGAGGCGATGGCGTTATCAAACTTTTCTATTGTGGAACCTGAGTTCAACCTTTTGCATTTTTGTACATCCAAACTGCTGTTGCCATGTAAACAAACAGCCAAAATGGCAAATGTTTTCCCCACACATGGTGTTTACTGCAGACTGGAGCCTGATACACACACACCTGGCTGTTGTCACTGTGTTCACAGGCACACACCTCAGTAGTATACAGATAAGTATCCTTTAGTCATGAGGTCAGCCAGAACATCTGCTTTTGGAAGAACAGAAGAAGGAAGGTGAGTTTCAATTAGTAGTTGAAGAAGTGTAATGCCACATAGTTATCATTTTTTGAAAACCTTTAAATGGATTTGCCAACTGGGTTCTGCACCACCCTGATAGTGTGAGTGTCTCCGCATACTGCTAATGAAGACAGTATTGTTTGCAACTTGCCATACCTATTGACATAAATCTGCAGAGCTTGTACGGTCTTGACTGTGGCTCTCTTGTTTCCACTGTAGACACCTCATTCAAACACCTTTGTTCAATTAAAAATGGTGACGCATGCATTCACATTAGTACAGTATGTCCCCCTGTGTGTTTCTGTTGAAAACTTAACCCCAGGAGCTCTATAATCAGAATCAGCTTTATTGGCCAGGTGTGTTAGACACACGAGGAAATTGACTCCAGTACAGTGGCTCTCAATGTGTATGTACAATGTTTTTGTGTTAAGCGATGATTAGACAAGTAAACAAGATAAGGCTGAGAGAACAAGAAAAGAAAAAGCATCTCACCTCTACAAAAGATTAAACAGTCTTGACCTGAGGCCTGTATGGCCTTGATTGGTTGCATTCAGTTTTTTTTTTTTGCTGTGGCAGCAAAGATGTTGCCATGGCAGGCCACCATGTTTGATACCTTAATTAAAATGGCTTTGCTTAATAAATCCATTTACACTACTCTATTTGTGTGCCACATCCATGCTTTCACTGTGAAGCAACGAACCGTTAAGGCAACCGTGAGGCCCGGGCCAGGTGATATCCATGAGCGCCTGTTGATTGCTGTGTTTCATGGCCGATATATAGATGTGGCCCATAGCTTGGGGGCTGTGCCAGCTATATTGATTCACTTTACAGACTTGCCATTGTCAGGCGTATAAAAGGATCTAGTGGCACTTTGTGGTTATGCTTGCACTCTGACAAATGTTTCCCTGTGGCTTAACACCCATTCACTTCCTCGCGTTGTTGTTTCGACGTCATTTGCAAAACGTTATTCAAATGGTATAATTACAGCTGTCCTTAAAAGACTGTTGTAATATACATCACATCACCATCACTGTTGTCATGAATGCTTTAATCTCAGTGAATAGAGGTTTGCTTTTGTTCATGGGATGAAAGGAAATACCTTTGTTGTTTGACTTAGAGATGTACTTTTGTCTGACAGTAATGGAAAAACTCAGGTTGTGTTATACAGAGTGCCTTCTAAACAATGCCAAAGAAATGAACAATAAAATGAAGGGCAGGACAAAGAACTCAATTAAATGGCCATGTTGTTGTCTGCTTTCAGAATTTAATCCAGCAACGTATGTGAATATTAGATGAGTATACATGAAGATTTTGTTTTTTTGGAACTTTTTTGAACAGTGGTTCCAGTAGGAGTAACACTAGTATACAGAACTATTCATACCTGGCCTCTTGGGGTGTCAAATTCTGCCCTCAAATTTTCATCGTCAAGTCCATTCTTTTGGTCAGTGGGGTGAGTTTCTTCCCACAGGTCTGAAGTTTCTCAAATGACCTGAGTTACAGTTCCAGTTTAAAAGAAAAAAAAATGTTTTTGTCTGTTTTACGTATTAAAATGTTTAGCTGCTGGGTGTAAAAAAAACAAAAAACAAAAAAAAACTGTGGGTTATGATGTAATAGCCATAAGAGGAGGAAGGAAACCCACAATATGGTTCAGTGAAAGCTTTGCACAAGTGCTTGCTCCTATCTGAGAAAACTAAAAATACTTAAGGAACTTAAGAATATGGCCTTTTTATACTGTATGTTGTAGTAGTGTAAGCTCATGTAAACATTTGCTTGTAAATGGAAATATCTTGTTGGAAGTACTTGGCGCTAGATCTCAGTCTTCTCTGACTTGATATGTGATCCTGGGTCAGGCTTGACCTGAATGTACAGAGGGTAATCTCTTTGATAACCCACAGAAAATAGATACAGTTTACATAAAAAACAGTCATGCAGCATATCCTGCATGACTGAACAGGTCAGAATCAGCTTTATTGGCCAGGTTTGTTGGACACACGAGGAATTTGACTCTGCTACAGCGGCTCTCAATGTGTATGTACATGTCAACAAGCAAGGGAATGTGCATTAGGAAAAGAGATAGAAACAAAGGTCTCTCTGGTTTGTGTGGTAGTACTGTGGGAGTGTGAGTGAGCACAAAACAAACACACCACAGAGAGAGCCCATTTCACTGTGATTGAAGAATATTCAGACACAACACTAGTCAACTCAAGCCGCTTGGGCCTTCTCTGCATCTAAACCGCTATGTAAAGGTCACTGCCATAGAGAGCTGCCTTGTTCATGTCCTGCTGTTGCACTTTAACCACACTGGAAGGGAAATGTTTTGTTGGTCTGAGGGGAAATCCTCGAACAATAAATGTTCATTCCGATGCTCATTGAGGTTTGAACAAGATAAGGGCAAGTGTAAAACGAAACTGTGTGTCAGTGTGCGGAAGCTTTTTCTGGAAAGGTGTGTTTTGTTTGTGGGAGTGGCTGCAAGTGTTTTCACTATGGATGGTTATTTATTGACATGATGATGGCTGAAACACCAGTAAGTTGTGGCACAGATCTTTGAATGTGAATATTTGTAGTGATATCTGCAGTATTATAAGTTGAGCTGTGTTGAAGAAGTTGGATCTATGGTAATGTATGAGGGTAGCATTTTTTGGAATGCTTTGAAATGCATATTGACGAAGTTCAGACGGTCGCTTAGTTGCTTGTCCATGCTTTCCTCTGGGGAGAGGGTGTGTGTGGTGTGGGCTGAGATAAGAGCATCATGGCCACACCTCTGGCACTGATGAGAAGGAGCTGGGAAGGAAAAACACTTGCTAATGTCATGTAACCTGACGCCCATCTGATGGAGCTCAGAGAAAAGAGAGTTTGCACTTTTTGGAAGTTTATTAGAGTTCAGTCATTAAGCCTGAATATCATGTGTTACTTCTGAGGTAGACTTCAGATATGACTTTATAAACATAACACAATCTTATGAAACTTTGCACTGTTAGCACTGAGATCACTCACTGCAGTAAACACTGATTGTTCACTGATTACACTGTGTAATAAGTAATAGTCACAGAGTTAAAGTTAAACATATTTTTTTTCCAGTGTTTGAATACGGTGTTACCCGCCCAGATCTGTGGCCCCGAACTGTTGTTGGGGACCTCTGGTTCATGGCTAAACTGCTTCAGCCCTGGCTCGTAGCCGGTAACTAGCCTTAAAAGTGCAGGCTTTTCCGACCAGCGAACTCCGTTCAAAACACAGGCTTTATTCCATCTTCGTAACACGAACACTGCATGTGGCCTTTGATGCCCAGTTAACTGCATTACACTCCTGTCGCAGCAACAACAACGTTTCATATAAGACTACATGCCTCAAAGGGGAAGCCCCGGCCTGTAACAACTGTCTCCATTTGCGAACAAAAGCTGCTGTGGGCACCTTCTCTGCCGTAGCTCACTATCTTTAGCTGTAAAACTGAGCGGTAACGCGTTGGCCTGCAACTGCAGCACCTTGTGGGAGACTTGGCTCGCGCCTACAATGCAAGGGTAGAGTGCGCACAAGTAGGAAGTAGGTTGACAGGCAGGTAGGCCATTTGGTGGTTTTGCTTGGGACAAGTAAAATTATTGGTCAAGTCAGCTCTGCTGCTGCCACAGATGATAGATTATTTTTCTTTATGTTGTCGGTGCATTAAATGAATTCATGGCCATCAGAATGAAAAGAGAAATTCAAGCAATATAACTAAACTGCTTCTGGAAGGAATCACCAAGCCTACCTTTAAATATTTCCGATGCATCTGGTCAATGTAACCGGTACTGAATAATACACAGAAAAATGGTAGCTCTCCAGATATGTTCACGCAACATAACATAAAGTGCACATACACTAACAGCAGATGTTGGTGACCACAGTGAGCGTCAGAGTGGCAGTGAAGATTTGTTGTTCTTGAATGTTTTTGCAAGTCTGGAGAAACAAATGGCATCACTAGGGAAGGCAGTTTGTCTGTGAAGGTCAGGTTTTCATTCCGTTAATCAGGTTGTCCTGTATTAGCTTCAGCAGACATTAGTTATAGCCCTTTAATACCAAGTCTGTGTGTCATTGTGTCTGTTTCCCTGCAGCCTCTCCTAGTTTTTCTTTTTCTCTCTGCCCTGTCTGTGCCTGTCTCATCTGTATGAGCTTTCCTCTTGAGTTACTCTCCAGTTCTGTTTCTTTTTGTTTGGCCAATTCTTTGCACCTCCATCAGTTTCTTTCTCCTACCATCTTTTACCCTTCTTGCCTGTTTTGCTATCATCATGAAATTATTTCAGGATTATATAGCTACCAGTGTATCCTGGAATCTGTTGAGTTGGCACTTAAAAGGAAGAATAGCTACATCATCAGTTTGACTGCCCAACCTCCCAGGGCAGGAGAGTCAGAGAAGACAAGTAAGAAACTGGAAAATGTTGTGACTCAAGGAAAAAATACTGTAACAAGATGTCGTCCATATCTTTATGTGGATTTATTGAATGAACTTTTTGCTATTAATGCAAAACTGTCATCATTAGAAAGCTATGAGGATCCAGGGCTATACTGGCACAATTGCAAGCAAACAGAGTAGGCCAGTGGGGTGTGCCTTTAAATAAATGTACCCTTAAGTGCTAAATAAGGGCAGTGATCAGTGTTGATACTACAGTACTGTGTGTCAGTGAACTGGAAGACCTTGAGCAACCATGCACATGAAAAGTAAAAGTGGTTCAGAGCCGGTTTCTGCTTCTGTTTCTCCATTTATCTCCTTTTGTCTTCCCTCTTCTCATGTTTCTTTTAGTCCTTATTTGTTTCAACCTCCCTCCTGCCAGAATACACACAAATACACACACTTAGCTATAATAGAGTATTTTTACAGATTGTTTAAGCTCACAGGTCTGTCAGAAAGCCTCAGGAGTTATCTAAGACCTTCACTCAGTGAGTTGCCTGCATATTAGACCACATGAGGAAAACCAACGTAGTGACAGGCAGCACAGGTGCAAGTGGAATCGGGCAGTGCTTGCACTTTACAAGCCTGCTGCTGCTAATTCATTTGTTGCATCATTTGCATGTGTATTTGTTGTACCAGCTTTGTTACACTTTGCTGTATCATCTCCATCCTTTAGTCTGCTGCTGTAATGACCCTGATTCCCCACAGGGATTATTTCTGTTCGGTTTGATTCATTCTTGAATCTGACGGTAGAAAACAAACGATAGAAGAGGAATCTGTGGGGAGTTTGGGGAGGACAGCTGTAGGGATTAGGTGTGAATCTAAGAGCTAAAGTCAGATCTCGATTCAAATAAAGAAGTATGGAAGAGATATCTGGAGCACTGGGGACTCTTTTTGTCAGGGATGTGTGGATAGCCTTAGGCTAACGTGCTGTCAGTCAAGGCATAGCTTATTCTGGGTATTTTCCAAAGCTGTCCTCGTGTTTGTAAAGTATCGCTCTCGGCAGATACCACCCACCAGACAGATGCAGCCTCAACCAAGCTAAGTATCTGTAAATAACTGCAGACCACCAGTCTTGTGAGAAATGCCACAGATTTATGTCATCTACTGAGATCACAGTGTGGTTGAGTAAATATCGCGCCTAGCTCTCATATCTACCATAAAATGCATAGTGTCTGTTTGCTTCTCTAAAGTGAGCATTTAAACATTTGTGAATGCATGTGTTTTTTCTGCTGTGTATATATTTGTGCTACAGCTCTCATTCTGTGTAGTTTACCTTCCACCTGGGCCAAACAGTCACTAGTTTTTCGTTTTCTCTCCATCAACCTCCCTCCCTTTGTTTACCTTCTCTCTTCCCCTCCTGTTTGATATACTCAGTGGTGTACGAGCATCGCTCCAGGTTGGAGAAGTCCCTGCAGAAAGAGAGGTTAGAGCACAAAAAGGCCAAAGAAGGTGAGAAAATAACCATCTACTGTATGCTCAGTTTTGTGTCTTTATCTCCATGTCCCACACTGAGACTGGATATCATGTGGTACAACAAACACTACAGCGTGCTTCTAATCTCTGATGTTGTTGTAAATCAGTTTGGACACATGCATCTGCTAAATAAATATAACTGTATTACATTTGACATGTTGAAGGGCATGAATACTGAGGTTTGACTCAAACTTGACAGCACCACCTGCAGCAGTGGGACAGATGTGCTTTGTGCATGGGTTCCTATTCATACTTCAATAGAAGGGCCTGCCTTCTGTCAGCGTTACAGCCACGGTTTCCAAATATTGTGGTACATGCACAGTTGAGGCTTTTTTTTTAAAATACAATCATATAACCTCTATTCTGGTTTTTCTTCACTGGCTTCCAGTTGGTTTTAGAATAGATGTTAAGTTGCTGCTGATTGTCGTGTTTAAGGTTTTAAATGGTCGGACACCGTGTGTGAGAGAAGGTCTGACCCATTTTTGTGGATGGAACGAAGTATATATGAAAATATGGGTTTGAGTTGAAAAAAACTCTTGGAAGTAAAAATCATAGTGTTGCTCTTTATCAAGTTAAAGTATAATTTTCCATCATATTAACATCTTGTAAAAAAAAAAAAAATTTGACTTGTTTTTTGTTTTTCTAGATTTTCTGCTTTATAAAGTTGAAGCACAACAGTCACTAAACAAAGAAAAGGTATTTTTCTTCACAAAATTACAAATTCTTTCAATTTAAATGTCTTTAAACCTACTTTTTACTGATGTCTTAGTTTGGTTTTAAAAATGCTATGAAAATAAGGCTACTATAACTGCTGCCAGTGAGAATTGAGCTCTTCACTACTGTCTCTTGTAACCTTTGTAACCTTTGCCCTTGTGCTCCAACAGCAAGACTCCAGTGGCAAATTCAACTCTTTACAAGTGCAGCATCAGATGTTAAAGGTATGGATGAATTTAGTGTCCAGCCCACACAGAGACACCCTTGTCTTTACCCTGCAGGTGTCAGACACATCCCTCATTTTTAATCTTCTTTCTTCCTGTCATCTGTTTAAACGCACTGACCTTACTGCACTATATCCTTCCTCTTTTGGCGTGAAGTTTATGTATGTGGGGCAAGGATTTTTGTTTTTTTATATAATGAGAAAAACAAAACAAAGGTCCTATAGTGACTAATATTTTTCTTCTCTGTCAGAACCAGCATGAAGACCTGAAGAAGCAGTATTACGAGCTGCATGAGCAGCACCAAGCGCAGCAAGAGGGCCATAACCGGTTGCTGGAAGAACATAAAGATCGCTATGAGAAACTACAGCAAGCCAAAGAGACGGAGCTCTCTCACCTCAAAGGTACTGATGTTTCCACACAGGAAGGGCTGTTCATTACATACTGTAGACTGGAGTCTGTCATTCTGCGCTACTGTAACACGGTAACACTAACGCGCAAATTTTTTGCGTAAGTGAAGACATACAGTACATCCATACATGGGATAATATGCAGTGTATTTAAACACTACTTAGTTACACATACATGCATAGAGTACTAGTGCAATGTAGTCTTATATATGGGAGCAATCGTTGACTGTTTTTACTTTGTCGCCATCTTCTGACCTAATGGTATACTGCATGTAAATGGCCATGGTGCCATAAGATGTTTTAGCTGTACTGTATGACCTGTGCAATACTGTGATAAAGACAAGTGTTTAGGGATGAAAAGTCTTACAATATCCTAATATGGTGTAAAAGATGTATTCAAAACATCAAGTTGCATGTGTAATGAAATCTGAGACAGGGAGCATGTGTGTCTGGTTTATTCAAGTTGGTTTTTGAATTTTTAATTAATTTAACAAAAAACATTGCAGCTATTTTGCAATGTTCAGTTGTCCCTGCGGTTTAATTGCACAATGTTTTTAGAAATGCTGCCACAGAATCAGAAGTTTGAGACTGCAGCTATTTCAAAAAAGCCCATGAAATCTTGGAGGGTGTGAATATTCTTCCTTTGCACATTTTCTGTTAAGTTGTATGCTTTCTGTGAATATGTTTCGTGTTTCTAACCTCAGAGAATGTCTATAACCTGAGAGAGGAAAATAAACAACTGAGGAAGTCCCACCATGACATTCATATACAACTACAGGATGCACAGGTGAGAACAGACTGATTCTTTTAGATATTTTTTTTATCTTCTTTGTCATATTTGTATGGGGGGGAAAAAAAAGTTGTGCTTTCTGCCTCTCTGAAATTGATGAAATAAAGTTGCCAGTGATTGATGAAATCTTTTTACATTAAAGATTTTGGGTAACAAAATGTAAGCCTTGCATCAGATTAACTTGTTGTGTTCAGGTTCAGCATCAGGACCTGAAGGCAGCCCACCAGCATCTTGCACTGACACTGCAAGGCCACAAGAGTGCGCTGGCTGCAGCTCAGGTAGGACTGCAGCAGACACACTCATTGTTTATTGCAGTCACTGAATACCACACCTGGCTAGTGCTGAATATCTCCTTTCTTTATATAGGTTCTCATATAATTCTCTTAGGATTTGTGGTCAAAAAAATGTTTGTTTGTTTGTTTTTTTTACATTAATTGTTGCAAAATCGCTTTCTGGGAGTTACTGGAGAACTTGTATCAAGATAAAAGACATCCAGCTGACACTGGGCAAGAGGCCGGGTACATCCTGAACGGGTCGCCAGTCTATCACGGGGCTGACATGTAGACAAATAACCACACACACACGCACACACTCCTACGGGCAATTTAGAGTCAGCAGTCAACCTGAGCTGCATGTCTTTGGACTGCGGGAGGAAGCCAGGGTAACTGAAGAGAACCCACACATGCACAGCTAACCACTGCCCCACTGAGCCGCCCTATAAAAGACGTTTGTGTTTTACTTTGTCCTAAGTGTAACTTTGTCTTTTTCACATGTTAGCAGTGAAGCTGCAGACCAGACTCTGGGACAGTATAAATGGAGTAAAACAGCCGAGTAATAAGTTTAGTTGTACAGTGTGTGTCACTAACCTCACTGTACGCTCCTTCATTTGTCAAAACTGAAGTGAAATGAAAGGGCTACTGAAAAGGGAGGTCATACGGGAAAACTGAAGAGTAAGTTCTGTACCTAGCTTGTTGACAAAGCAACTAAAACACCCCCTTATGTGCTCTGCATTCCTCTCAGCTTTATTGTAACCTTTACTTTAGCCTCCTCAGTAGAGCAGAAAAGCGTTTATTGCAGTGGACTGTATAATTCCTACTAGAAAGAGGGAAAATGCCCAAGGTGTTGCTTCGTTTCAAGGTAATTAGATTAGATGCTGCTGTTTCTTTTTGAGGGTGACCTTTGAAATGTCTGAATGGTTTATTGAATGTACAGTACAGTGCTTGTTTGGAATGCGTTCTTCCTCTCTGCATTGATGAATACTCACTCACCTCTCTTTTTCTCCTCTCTTACCTTCTGTCAGCATTTGCCAGTTTGTTTTAAAGCCCATCCAAGTTTCTATCAGTGCGTCTGTTTGAACAGTCGCACACATACATACATGTTTACATAGATCTGTGTGAGGACAATGTTATATTGAACTTCCTAGTCCCACATCCTAAGCGTGCATACGGTCTGTGTTTGCTTCATAACTAAATGACTAATCTAAACCTACCTCTAAACATAACTCTAAAACTGAAGTGTGTGTTAGAAAATCAGGACTGGCCAGACAGGTCCTCACAGTGTGGAATAAATGTGTACACACTCATACAGACACAACTCTTTTCTTCACTCCAGGGGACTTGGTTTAGTCAGGGCTGTCAGAACAGTACATCTAAAGCACATTGCAGCCAACCAGCCAGAAAGATATAATGGAGGGGACTGAGACTGAGACAACAAGAGAGGAGAGGAATTTAGAAAGAATTTTGAGAACTTAAACCCCTGGCCGGGTTAGAAATGTATGTATAAAAGGAAGGACGCCGTTTATTAGTCCACACTGGATGGTCACTTTGGAGGGAAATGTTTTAAAATTTTCAGATAAATATTAAATGTGTCTTGTCCAGATGCAAGTGCTTGGACTATACAGTATAGTAGTTTTTAGCCACATTTGGACTTTGGCACAGATAAAGTATAAAGCATCTGGAAATTTGGTGCAGATACAGTATCTCTGGTGGCCTGAATGAGATGTTTCCCATTTTAAATGATAATTTGTTCATTTGAGACTGGATTGAATTTACACTAAGGCTTTGTAAAGACAGCTTGTGTTTGGACAACATTGTCCTTTTAACTTCTTTTTAAAATGGGGAAAGGTTTTGTGGAAAAACATCTTTATGTTTTTCAAAGTAAGATAGCAAAACAAATTGTATCCAATAATTTTGTCACAGGTCCTAGAGGTTCACACATTACAGGAATTCTTGCAGCCTGACAGTCACACAGCATCACACATTTCCCCCAGGATTCTCTGTCTTAGCCCTCCTGTGGTTGTGTATGTTGTTTGCTTTAGGTGCAGGTGGAAGAATACAAGCAGCTGAAGGAGAGACTGAACAGAGCACCCAGTCTGAGACAGCCTGAGCAAAACCCCACCTCCCGGCAGCCACAGGTAATTGCTACAGCACCCAAGTCCCATGTCCATGAAGCCCAGCGTTCTATGATGATGCCACAGCCACATAAAGAGGAGCATGCCCATGAAGATCACCAGAACGCTGCGACCATGGTAACATGGGACTTTCTCTTTTTTTTGCTTTTAGTAACTGTAAACATATCTGTGTTTACTTTAGACATAACTGTTCTCCTCAGGTGGAGGAGGTGCACGTGCAGTCCGAGAGCAAATCCCACCACACCTTGTCAAAAAAAGACGAGGATCAAGAGGGAGAGGCAGAGAGGAGGAGGGAGCTGGCCGAAGAGGAGATGGCTCAAGCAGGACAGCCTCAGAAACTTGAGGAGGACCCGGATCAAGCACAGGATGAGCAACAGGAGGAGGGGGAGGGGACAGAACAGGAACGGCCAGACGAGAACGCCTTAGACCACCAGAGGCGTCAGTCACAGCTGGTCAGACCTAGTTTAGACTACACAGTCTTATCTAAACAAGGTTAAAACAGGCCTTAAACTGGTTTAAATGTCCTTTATCTCATCTGATTGGAGAATGAATGGTATGTTACTCAGAACTTAAACGTAATTAACCTTTTAGTCGTTAATTAGCCATGTGTTCTTGTCATAGTGGGACACAACTGTTACCGAAATTGCCAGTGCAGAGTTCTAATAATTAAGCTTTAACCCCAGAGGAACCAGAATAAATTACAGCCTTTCTTCAGTGGTTACTTTTTTCATTTAATGGCAGCTTACTCTCAATGTGTGGAGCTCATGGTTTTAAACAGTAATTGTCCTCTATTAAACTTTCCCAGAGGATAAATTATACCTTACCGCTATGTGTATGTCTCAGATTAGCAGCAACTCTGTGTGTTTGAAATACACTAGTGTTTTTTTCTGCTCTGCATGCTGATCCTTTCACATTAATTTGTCATCCCTAAGGATCCCCACGCGGAGCAGCATCGGGAAGAGGCAAACGCCCACGTGGAGCATGTGAAGTCAGCCTATGAGCAGCAGCAGGAGCAGCAGCACCTGGAGGCTCAGAGGGCCGAGGAACGCAGGCAGCTCCAGATGCGACAGGAGGCACTGCAGGCCCAGAGGGACAGGGTTCTGAAGGAGAGGGAGCAGAGGCTGAAGGAGGCGCAGGAGAGAGAGGAGCAGCAGCACAGGGAGGCAGACAGACGGGAGAAGCTGCTGAGAGAGGAACAGCAAAGGTATTCACTGGAAATCACTTAAAACCAGGTGCACAAGGAGTTTACAAAACAAGACAAAACATTTAGTGATATCTATCCATACAAATAGTTTTGGGTCTGTGTGTCATCTCAAGACTTGATGCTACAGTATCTTAAAAGCCACATGCAGATAGTCAGCAGCTCATTCAACCTTTCTCTTTTTCTAAAGGGGTGTCAAAAGGGACATTTAAGATAATTAGACTGGTGTTGCATCTGTCAACCCAAGAAAATATCCTTCCTACAAACCAGAAGTAATTGACTGATGTTTGACACTAAGCAAACTAGTTATTCTCAGAAATCCTGTACAAAGGGAAAACCTCTGTAAAGGGTCTGTACATACAGATGTGTCTGCTTTAATACAGCTGGATATGTCAGCAACTCAAAAGAAGGGTATGTAGCAAGCAGTCCATTTTACACACTCTGCAGCATGCAGTTTATCAACATTAATAAATCTGTTTAGATGTGGCTTATAGTGCCTGCACCCTTATGACTGCCCTGTACTGTCATTGTTGTTATTAGGAAGAGGACTGAGTATGAGAACAATAACGTTGCCCAAGAAGGAGAGGACCATCACAATGTCAATGAAGGTGAGACAGAAAAAATACTCAACGAATCCAGATTAAGTGGAATTTAAACATGTGCACTAAATTATCCAACTGAATATGGGTCATGTAGTTAGGACACATCTGCTTGACTGGGTTGGGACTTTAAAAAGTTCATTAAACAATCACAGAGTCAGTTCCTCAAAACTCCAGTATTTTAAGATCATAAAGTCTCTGTCAAGTGCCATAGTAGTGAGTCCTGAAACCCAGAACTGACTTACCATTTTTGCACTTCTGGTTCCCTCACTTTGAAGTCTGTGGGTTTTTTGGTCAGATGCCTGAAATAAGGTATGTGGTTAACACAAGGCCAATACATTTTCACTTTTTTATATGAATTAAAATACATCAGGAAATAACCCACTCATTATTTTTAATGCTTTTATGTGTCCTAAAAAAGGAGGTTACTAACAAGTGGCTAAATGAGACTACAGAGGCTGTCTGGGATATTTCACGTCATCACACTGAACTCGGTTGGTTGGAAGCTGTGACGCTGAATTCATGGGACCATGGTGTAGTTCACTGATAGTCTAACAATAGCTTTTTACTTCTGCTAGTCATATCTGGGCTTCATAAATCTTAAGTGTTCACTTGTGAAGATTATCTTGCTGAACAAAATGTGTAAGTGTCGTAAACCATTGTTTGTCACAGAGCAGAGCTTATTTTCCACAATAACCCAAAAGCCTATGGGGAAAATCCCATTGGATTTACATTGAGGGAACCAGGATGATGCTGACTGCCAGGGTGGCCTACAAAAAAAAAAAAAATCATCATCCCTATGGCACTCTGGGGGTGATTATTCATAGGCGGAGCCAAGGGGGTGGCCATGGTTTATGTTTTTCATAGAACTACAGGTTTAATTGTCTTTTTACATGTATTTCAAATGTGCCATCCCTCACTGAGTCTGTGCCCCAGTCTAGCAACTCCATCCAAAATGTTCTAAATCCGCTCCTGGTGATAGTGTTTTTTTTTAGTTTGTCTTAATACTTCATTCATATTAAGAATAAATCATGATCAAGATTGCATGAAATATTTTCCAGTGCTAGAGACGGGTGGTAGAGTTCACAGTAGCATTTGATTCATGTTTTGTGTGTGTGAATAGAGAGAGATGCTCATATGTTGCATGAAGAAGAGGAGAACCAAGGAGCGGCTCACATCATGCCACCACATCAGCAGGTGACTTGTCCACCCATCCTGTTCACTCCATCTGTTATCTGTCTTTTCTATCCTCATTCTCACCAGTGTGGCATGTGTCACACATCCATTTATTCAGCCATCCATCCACAAATCAATTCTTGTTTCACAATCACATATTGATCTCCCCTGTCTCCATTTTCCAATTGGCAGTCAAACCAGGAATTAATTCATTATTCATTACAGTTCTCTTGCGCCTAATCTAATGTTAATGCGCCGATCATTTCACTTTTGTGTAAATATCAGTTCTCTTTTACCATTATTACTGCATTTCATCCTCACTCTCTTTAATCTCTTCTTCCATAGGGTGCTGTAGATGCTGAGCTTGACCCCGAGGATGACCCCAACAACCAGGGAGAGGACGAGTTTGAGGAGGACGAGCGGCTGCAGCACAGGGTTGCAGAAGAGGAAGAGGAGGTGGTGGTGGAGGAAGAGGAGCCAGCAGCACCAGCCCGCAACACAGGCGCACACCCAGGCCCCAAACAGCATGTTGTAGAGGAGGAATTGGTGGTAAGTAAAGGAATTAAGGGAAGAATGAGAGAGCAGCATTACAAGATGAGCCTAATGAAGAATTATCAGTAATATCTGTAGGTAGTATTTCAATTTGTGTGTGTTTTCAGATGGCAGGAAATCCAGATCAACAGGAAGACACACTGGATGACCAGTACCAGGAGGAAGCAGAGGATGAGGTCTGTAATAACTTCCAGTTGTATATTTTTATTCCTAATACAAGTCTATAGTTGAACCCCTTGCTCTTGTTATTGCTGTGCTGAAGGCCCAGGAGGACATAGCTGGTGGGCAGAAGAGAGAGGAGGTGGAGCAGGAAGGAGAGGATCCATATAACGAGGAGAACACAGAGCAGGTGCGTTCTTCTGGGAGCCAGAGGGTTTCTAATTATTTTCTGCAAGCATTCAGGGAAGTGCTGCATCTTATTCTCATCTTCTAAGCCTGACACTTATAAAAAAAATGTATGTCCAAGGTGTCCAGGTGGTGCATACGAACTGTCACTCGCTGCCATGACTGTGCGACGTCCTTGTCTTGGCTGTGTGCTCTACTAACATAATTAGCAGTGTGGGTAGCAATTTTGGGAGAGGTCACCTCTTTAGCAAATCCCAGTGTCTGCTGAAAGCACCTGTGTCTGGGATATTTTGTGCACATCATTCCTTTACAGTGAAAGTGCGATTCCATATGAGATGCCATCAAGACACAAAGATCAGTAAGAGTACCTATAGAGACTGTAACATGATTGATGTTCAACACATATGAACTTAATATTTCAAAAGAGAAACTGGAGCATTTCCCACTTATTGTGTTCGCAGATCAGCGTCTAGTGGCCATTAGAGGAAGTGCCTCCACAGATTCCAAACTTGACAATGAGAATGGATGCAGTTGTTTAGTCATTAATAATTAATGCCCATTTCTATAGCATAACTGGGGAATCCATTTTTAACCCAAGGTACTTTCCCCCAGTTCTTATGCCAGCTCCATCAATAACATCACACCCTGAAACCTTTTTCAGAGAACAGCACCTGCACATGGTCAAATGTTTAGGTTTCACATCTGGACACGAACATGGCACGGCTCCATATTTAGCTGTGCAGGTGTTCACTTGTGTTAGTTTGAGTGTGTGTGCATGCCTGTGTTTTATCACTGTCACTTTACCTTGCCTGTGTACGTCCTGGTAGATTAGGGAGATTAGGTGTACTGGGGTGTCAGGTTACCTACCACCTGAGCTTGGTTTATTAAATTTGTTTGTAGTGAGAAGCCTGCACACGTTTTACGACTTCCTGAACTATAAAATTTAATATATCATTTAAATAATGTTCAGAATTAATTTTTATTGGACATATTGTCATACGTCTTAGGAATACATTTAAGACTTTAGTCATCCAACACAACAGGACATGACCTTGGCTGTTTCGTTAGTTTAATTGACAAGTTATCTGTGCTGTTGCTATGCCTACATATTTGGTTGTAAAATGGTATGAAATTACATCTTTACAATGCAAACAGGCATGAAAAACAAGAGTCTAAGACTAAATGGTAAAGAAAGCCAATAAAATTTCCACATAAATAAAATTGTGTCATGAATATTTGTAAAGGGCATAGGTTATCTTTAGTAGAAAAAAAACGTCAGAGCTTGGATATGTACATGAGCACGTGTAATGGCCATGAAATCATCTTGTCATGTGCTTGTGATTTGCTCTAGGATGAAGTAAAAAACCAGGAGGGACTCAGAAAAGTGGGGGATCACAGAAAAGGTGTGGCGGCTAATGAGGAAGAGAATTATGAGGAAGAAGAAGAGGGGGTAGAGGCTGATACGGCTGGTCGAAACAAGGGGACCAATCGGAGGGCAGAGATGTAGGACGGACGCAGACATTGAACAGTTACAGTGCCTTTTCAGCTGCCTGTAGAGCCTATCAGGTTTTTCTTTCCCTCGTTTCCCAAAGGAATAATACCAGCCATCCATTCAGAACTCCAGGTAGGAAAATCTTGGGATATTATGCCTGGAAGATGGAATGCTCTTCCAAATGTTGTGGTTGGAACTGATCAGCTTACACTATGGAAATGGACCAATTTTATAGGATGGAAATGGGATATATATCATGTTGTTGTTATTTTTCTTCTGTTTAAAATCATGTGCTTTTCTGTCCACGTGTCTGCCTCATTACCTGTATGGTGGTGTTTTTTTTGTCTTTTTTTTTTTTTTTTTTTTTTAAAGAGCACACATGCAGAGAATATATTTTTAATGTGCTGTCTTTGTGTAAAGAAAGCAAAAATAAATTGTTATTCTAATGGTGTCATGTTCAGGCCTTTATATGTTTTATGCAAACAGTTGCATTCTTTGTTGAGCGCGAGTTCTGATTTACACTACATCTTGCCTTCTGATCGATCAAGTCCTTTTCTGTTATTTATTGTTAAATATAACATCTCAGACAATCATTAAAAGGTACAACATGTCTTTTTTGTTGATTGAACATTACCAACTTCTTGGAGTTGATACAGAGGAGCTTTTTCACTGGATGTCTCTGCAAATGTCAATCCAAAAGACATTTCTGGTGAAGCCATTCTGTGCCGGTAGTGTAACATTGACATGTGCCTCCATTCTTGGAAACCTCTTATACTTGTTAGTCATTTTACATTGCAGTAGGACAGGAGAGATAAGAGTGTGCCAGTTAGTACTGAACCTCTCAACATATTGCTTCAGAATAGTCTTAACATTAAGGCTAGTTCATGTTGCCTGCTGGTGTGAATTTAATAAATTCTAACTGCAATTTAATGCAACGTATTTAGTCTACTGGATAGTATATAGCACAACATAAGCTACCTATTATATATTGTTCCACAAGTTATATTTGATAGAAAAGAGTTGGATTTTGGTTTTATTGAACCATGTTTGTCACCTGAATGGTGTAAAGAGGGATTTCATGTAATTGTAATTATGTTCTCTAATTCTGCTCTTTGACCTTTTGTGAAGACCCCATTTAAAGTTCACAGTAGTCTCCAACAGAGCTGCTGGTGGTCACTCAAAACTTGCAATTAATATTAGGACTGTGAACTGTCTGGAATGTGACGGTACATTAGGCTGTGTTGAATGTTAGGACGGGGCGCCATTTTTGGAAGTATGCGCTGTATTTACCTGCATACATTTTTGTTTTGTTTGGCTAGAACAAAGTTGCTTAAATTGTTTAATTCTGAATTTACTAGACGGATGACACCAGCACTACCGATGAATCTATTTCTGTCCTGTCTGTGCTCAAACTGAACACTAAAGTGGACGTTTGGACGCGGTTGAACCAAACATAAGAATTCTGAATCTGCTGCCTGCCCTGTTGCCTGACATGACTAATAAAATGGATAAATAGACTCGCAGCAAGCTCCTACCTTAAGCTGTGTGCAATTCTTCTGTCAAGTCTATTTTCAAACAGAGACAAGATCATAAATATGCAACAAGCAGAAGGGGAACATCATAAATATTGATTGTTACATGTCATGGATGCTCCCTTGTACATGTCTCCACTGCAAGCGTAGAAATCCTGCCAACTCAGTTCCTTATCTGCCCTTTGAGAATGGAGAGCTGAGAGGAGTGTGTGTGAACTCGCTCACGTGGGAAATGAGCTGACAAATTAGAATGAAATGAAAATCGAGCAAGACGGGGCAGACTGAGAGGCAATTTACTCTAATGAACAACATTTGTCCCCAGCATACAGTCACAATCGAATCATCCCTTCTTCTCTCAGTCTCCGTTTCTGCTCTACTCCTCAGTTCCTGTCACCATCCCCGTGCTTCCTTTCCAGTTTTCCCCCTCTCTGCCTCTCACTTTGTCTTCCTCTCTATTTCTGTCTCTTATTCCTGTCATCATCCTTCTGCTGTTGTGACATTGTTGATGTCCCCAGAGGGATTGTGAGATGCTGGAGGAGTCTGAGAGTAACAGGTGTCTCATTACTGTGCTAATAGGCCACAGGGAAACACGCACACACACAGAAACACATTTTCACAGTGACAAGCAATAGCAGAAATGATAACTCTGCTGCATACCTCCCATTCTTGCACTCCTATCATTGTTTCCTGAACTGAATTACCAGCCATGAATAATTTTAACAAGTCGCTTGCCTACAGCCAAAGTCTGTCCTGAGATGTGTTGCCCACACAACTGCCACTGATTCTCAAACCTTCTATTTAACACTAGTGCATGATTTACTTGAAAGATGAAGCTCCAAGCCATAAAAAGATGTTCCCAACCCACAATTTTTGGAAAATCAACTCAAACTCTTTTACGCTATTTCACAGCCATATTGGAAAGAGCCACAGTCTCAGAATGGGCTGCAAAGACAACTGCTAACAGTTTGAAGACTCCAGCTTCTGGTCTTGACCTGGATCCTGTTTGCAGTATGTAAGGATGCGGTGAGCTCGTTATACTGTGCTACAGTAACGATCTCTCATTCATCAACTGGAGACACACACACACACAGACACAACATGCAAATTGTACAAACAATCTTCCACACTTAAACAAATCCCAATGAGGCATGTAACTGGTAGTTTGTGCCCGGCTGTATGCTTGTTAGAGAGATATTGGCTGCTTAAATTGTGCTTCACTGTATTACTGTGAGAGAAGAGAAGGTACGTGCTGTTTGTGTGTGTGTCTGTGTGCCCCGGTTCCATACTTGGTGTATGTTTATATGCATGGATGCTGCTTCATACTTGTATCTTTCAGATAACAAAGTGTGTTTGTGTTTTATAAGCAGGATGAAACTGAAAACATTATTAAAGGAGAAAACACTGCTGCAAGAATAAATCAGCTCCAGTTCACAGGGAGGCTGTGGTCGACCTCTGCACCACTACTTCCCATATGACAGTAAGTATGCCATTCCCTTCATACTTTTATCCAAAGCACTTTATGGTACCGAGAGTACACACACTTGTAGTGGGAATTAAACCATGGCAGGGTTACTCTTTGTATATACTGTGTGTTGTGTTGTGTGTGTGTGTGTGAGGCTCACGGGTCATTATCCAGTCAGTTAGAAGACACAAGAGGCCATTATTTTGAAGAGTCTGGACAGTAAATGTTTGATAAGCCTCAAAAGCAGATGTCCTATTTCTTTTCTCTTACATTACACAAGCAATAAAGCCCCGGCTACCAATTACAAACAGAAAAAAAATTGAAGCTACATTTTAGTTGACAGGGATTGTGTTTCTGTTCAGTCGCCATTACACTTGTTCAACACATATGCCTGTGCTGCACTGCATTCAGTTAAATTCTCAATACAAATGGATGCAAAAACTGTATTTTCTATTTATTATCCAAATTCCCAAATACAAAAAAGTCCCAGTTTAAAAAAATATGATTCATTTACTGATTTATATAAAAAGTATTCTACATGGCCTTTGAGCATGAAAATATTTTCAGGCGTGTGGCCTAAAAAATGTTTTTTGTCAACAGCTGTGACACAGTTTGTGTATATAACTCACTACCAGTTGGCTTTCCTCTGAAGACACCTGTGAAACCTTCAGTGCAATTTCAAAATGTGGAGTTCTTTGATGAAGCCTTGCCATCGCCTCCCTAAGGGCAGCAAACAGAATTGGGAGATCTGAGTCAGTACGCATCCATCCATGGAAGAATGTCACAAAATGTTGCAGATCCTTGTTTCTGGAAGCTGCAGTCTGGTGGGCAGAGAGTCTTCTGGCAGCTTGGGGATTCCATCCAGGACCTCAAGCTTTGGCAAAGAGGAGAAAACACTGCAAAGACAAAGAGAAAAAGTCATCTTAAGCTTTAGATTTCTCCACCACAGTCCTTTAATGCACTTTGTCCCAGCATCGAAATCTTCTCACCATGCACGGTAGTCCTGAGTGAAGGTCACTGGGTTGCGGGTCAGGTTTAAGGAGCGCAGTGGGCTGCTCCCCAGAGCTCCCAGTCCCCTCAGGGAGCTGATGGCATTCTCAGAGAGACAAAGGTGCTCCACTGCTGGGAGCTTTGGCAGCTGACGCAGACACACAAGGTGATTACGGTGCAGGTTTAGCATTCTGCACCTGCCCAAGAGAAACACTATTTATTTTATTTTATTTATTTAAGATAAAATTATACAGGGTGAAGGAGGCATAAAAGCTGATTCACTAACAAGCAGATTCGATCCAGATAAACAGTAGTATAACCTTTAAAAAATACAGGACAAGAGGAAAAAGAGGCAGCTGAAACTACAAATTCTGCATAATCTTGCCATGTGGTAATGCTGTAATGCTCGATGTTTGGTGTAAATAAATTCACACCAAACATCGAGCAGCTGTACCAGCAAAAGGAACGGCTCTCACATCCAGCTTCGGCAGTAGTACAGGGGTGTTTAGTAAGACTGCTCAAAAGCACTAAACGAATAAACTGTTACATCTAGGAGCAATATGGAGTAAGAACCACAAACTGACTGGACTGATGAGTAATGAAATAACATCAACCTAACATTTTTCAACATTCTAATTACAGGCTAGGGAGCTGTGGGGCAGTCTGGATGCTTCATACCTTGGCAGACGCACAGAACTCAGGTTTGTGAGAGAGTTGTCAACCAGTTGCAGTTTCTGCACACGGATCAACCGGCGGAGGATCCGGAGGAAATTCTCCTGCTGGAAGGGATCACCCAAGTCTTGGTAAGACAGATTTAACTCCTGTAAAGAGAAAATCGGTGGAATGTTCAGCCGGTTTATCTCTGTCTCTTCTCTCTCTTTTTTGCTCCTTCACCTCCTTTCTCCCCAAAATCTCTCTTTGTTCTTATATCTTTTATACCTGTACATAATGCACTTTAACTTACCAGACAGTTTTCCCAGTTTTCTTGCAATCTCTCTTCCCAGCTCTGGCCTTCTTCCTCTCTCCTCCTCCTCCCTCGGTCCAAACAGACATCAGCACCCTCTCTTTGAAACAGTTCCTCTTCTGATGGCCCTTTTTGATGACATTGTCAAAACAAAAAATGTCAAAATAGAACTGTGGCTGCATATGCTTTCAAAATGATCACAGTGGTGGTTTCCTCATATTGATGACTCACCTTCTCTGACCCTGGGGCAGGTTAGCTGGTCACCTGTAACTTCACACTGCTCCAGGCGGTGCCAAGACGCAAAGCGAAACCGATCTGATGGAAGCTGACAGGACAAGAAAAGTACAGGGTGAATGATGTGGCCGCTCTCTGGAGACAATCAGCAACAAATTTGCCACCTTGTAAGTGTCATAAAATAAAGATGACATGCATCATTCTACCAAGTTCTATCATTCCACTGATGGGACATCTACTTTTCCCAAGTTTAATCAAAATTCACTCACTGACAGTCAAATTCAGTTGAGCTGAAATTCATCCCAGTCTAATTATGTTTCATACTGATGGACAACAAAAGAGATATATTGTTTATGGGAATGGCTTGGGAGAGCAAGAGATGCACTAAAGTTTAATATACTGTAGCTCCTTGTTGCCATATAAATTCTGTGCTCAGCGTGTAGACAGTATATGGAGCAAAATCACTGGGTCATTTTTAAGACCATTAATCAGTACTGCTACATGTGTAAACAAGGTGAAGTCATTAAGTAATAAGTCATTGAGAGTGGCTGGTGATGGACAGGAACCATCACTTGAGTCATGTGCTAATGGAGGAACAGAGATGCGGTGTCCCTCCACTATACCGCCCTCCTCCATGACACCTTGATGCCTACAGCCCTTCTGATGTTAGTCCAACTTCTGTACCCTGCGTTTTCAATATTTGTCTGTAAATTAACCCTGTATAAGATTTCAGGCAAAATACTAGCATGTACAGTGACTACAATAAGATCAAATGAATGATTAAACTTTCAAATGTAAGCTTGTAATGGCTTTTGATTATTGTATTGAAATGACAGCTGGCTTGTCAACAATTACCAGTAGATTTTGTGTCACAGGAGTAAGTTAATACCATATTAAAAGATCAATATATGGAGCATAACTCAGACTAGGGATTTTAAGTTAAAATACTGTATCTTGGCCTTTGTTACACCAATTTTGAGCATTTTACAAAAGAATCTGTCTTCAAAAGCCAACAAACGACATGGAGTGCAGTACTAAACCACTACACAAAATGAGACTTTAATAATTCAGTTGCTAATGTAAAATGCAGTACTATTTTTAAAGACTTACTACATGCATTAGAGTTATAGTAGTGGGCTAACTTCTTTTCCCTACATGACCTTTTCAACCCAATTGCTCTCATCCTGTCACCCTTACTTTGTCCGTGTAACACTACACCTGCCTCTGGTAATCTAGACACAGGGCTGACCCCGGTCCACTTGGTCACTGCTCGTCACTAAGCACTGACAAAACAGCCTTGTGTTACCCATCGACATCATGTGAAATACACTAAATTACATTTAAAAACTGCTCGATAGAAAGTTTGACATACAACATTTCCAATGCAAATGTTGTATGTCAAATAATCAGAATAATTTAATAAAAAAATACAAAATGTAATGCCAGTACTATCTATAACTGAACCACCTCACTTTCATTTATTTAACTTCTGTTGACAAGATGCTTAAGTTCAGTACTAAAACAGAAGAAGGAGGGAGACAATACCTGTAGGCACTTTCTACCCTTCAATTAAATTATTTAGGATGCCATTTTGCTGAAGAATATTAACTAATATACCATGCAGAGCCATGAGTATGTGGAGTATTTTATTTTATTTTACCATAAGTGGGGAGCATAGCCCTATGTTTCTTGTGAGGGAAGGAGCAGTGTCTTGAGGACAGCAGTGATGAACAGATGAAATGATTACTGACTTATTTTGTGTATGTGTGTGTGTGTGTGTGTCACTTACAGGTGTAGATACTAGTCCAGAATCAGGACTGTGGTCCACAGAGAGAGGTGTGCGCGCAACACTTAGGTCAGACCACTGGGATGAGTGGGATTTGGGAAAACCGCCAGTGAGAGTGTTCACACCTGAAGAACTGAAACAGAAATAGAGTCAGGGCCAAGAATGAAGCTCCACAAAGCCAGGCAGGGCTGTGGAATACATGTTCACATCTCTGGTCCCTGATGGAAGGGCAGCTGTCTTTCTGTAATGTAAACCCTGTTGTGTGCTGAAACCCTGACCACCGGCCGAGTGGTTAGAGTTACAGTGAACTGGGCCTGACAATGTAGATTACGACCCGTTGCCATGGCTGCAGGGGACACCTGAGGAGGTGCTATTAAGCTTATAATAGTCGCATAATCCAGGAGACAGCTGGACACTGTTCTTCGGTAGTTGCTTTGTTTTGTAGTGCTTTGCTATGAGTTGCCATTAAAAGAGATAATTACAACATAATAATGGCTAGTTTAAGGAAAAGTTAGCTTGGATTGTAGTTTAGCTTACATTTTTGGGGTATAAAAGCAACAAACCGAATAAAACTAGCCTCAGTTATGGCTTGTAATTAAGATGGCAAACAACATAGTGAACACGAAACAGTAACTAACTTATTCATGCAGACACAGTTTAGCTTACCTTTCTGACATGTCCCAGTCTCCTTGTGATGAATTCTCCTGGCCTTTAACACACCGTGAATGGCTCGATTTAGCCCTGTAAAGCTGCAGCTGTTACCCATGGAGCCCAGTGGGTTTGTCAGTATTCAACGAGAGAAAGTTTACTGTGTTCCTGGCTTGGGAGACTGACACCAGTGTGGGCCTCCGTGGCAGGTGAAACACTGCTGCAGCTGCACAGCACCAACTGACCGGTAAACCGCTGGTTGCCTCGCAACAGTGTTCAGATGGATCACACATGAGCTTCTGTAGACCACATGACAGCATAGATGAATTAGGGCCCAGGGGTTCAAGGGGTCAGGGGTCCCCTGGAGCCAGCCTGCAAAATAGTCCAGAAAGAGACAATGGAAAAAAAAGATGAGACAAAACAATCACAAAAGATACAAAAATGTTTGTAAAGAGATACACAATGCGTATAAAGACACACCAAATGTCCTCAAAGAGACGCAAAATGTCATCAGACACAAAATGTCCACCAAATAGTGCTAAACAACTGCAATGAGATTTTAAAACAACTACACAGAAAAGCAAGGTGACTATAAAGACATACAAAAAGACCATATAGTGATACAAAGCATTTTCAAAGACAAAAATATGGATACATTTATTTTAAAAAGATAAATAAAACATGTCTGTTTCAGCCCCATTGGTTGGGGTGGAGGTGGGGCGGGCTTTGTGTCATAATCATCCCATGGATGAAAATTAATATTAATCTTTTAAATGAGCTGTGGCAGCTTAATTACTATCAATGACAGAGGCCAGATGTTTAAAAACTTTTTTCTTTGTGTGATCAGCATTTTCGCTTTAATTATTTAGGCCTGTGTTTAAAATAAAATCTGATTAAATGTCATTCAGTAAAAGAAGCTATGCTATGTCACAGTGTCACTGTCTTTCTTATAGGTCATCATCTTTTGTTTATCTTTTAATTTTATTGCAACATGAATAATAACACATTTACACGGACAAAGGACATAACATAGAAGATGAGACAACAGACATTAACAAAAGAGACAAAGGGATTATCCAGTTTAGTTTGTGTGTGTGAAAGTGTGTAGTGTGGGTGAATCCAGCTCTATGCAGACTGATATTCAGTACATATTAAGGAAAAATAAAATGAACCCAAATAAATTAAGAAATTCAGATGAAGGATTATTCATTCTCCAACTATCACAAAGGCCGTAATAATTCATATATTGGTTTTGTTTATCTTGTTGAATTAAATTTTTGATTTTGTAAAATACTAAGTAGCATCAAGAAATATGCTAAATTATTAAACGGAACAAAGATTATCATTTTTAAATACACATGACAAAAGCTAGCTCCCTAGAATATCCACTGGTTCACTTCCACTCTGGCAGATTGTCTATCATGGAGTAAAACTATAAAGTCATACAAATTTTAAAACTGCTTAAACAGAACCTCTATTTACTTTATACTTCTGGAAAGCTCAACCAGCAAATTATTATTGTTATAGCTTCAGGAAAGCTTCCATTTGTCTTCTTCTCATTTCTGTCTGTGTAGTGTCATGAGTTGGAAGAGAGAGAGACGGCTGATTTGGATTTTCACTGGTACCCAGTGAACACATAACGCACAGCTACCATCTGGCGAAAGTAATTTGGATTATAAATAACCTCCTACACCCGTGGGCTGCCGTTTCTCAACAATGTAGCTTGTTGCACTTAGGATATTGCAGCACTGGAGCACACTGTGCACACTAGGAGATGAAATAGCTATTAGATATTTCATAAAGTTAAATCAAAACCTTTGGCACTGCAGTAGACAAGGAATTGATTTCCTCTGAGTTTGTACAGAGCACTAACTTGTGTTCAGCAGATCCATAGCCTTTGATGTTTTTTCCAAGAAGTAATCATTTGCAGTAGTAAACGAGTGCATATCTGCTTTGCTGTTTCACCTTTTGTGTGTTTTATTTTTTTTACAACCAGTTTCATCTTGTGTGTCAGTTGTGTCATAGAGTAGATAATTAGTGCCTCTAAAACTTCAGCTGGAGATAGGGATGGCAGCTGTCACATCAAAGCAGATTTTTGTGATCTTTCTTTTGCACAAAAGCTCATATAACGGGAGAGACATCTGTAGGGGATGGAATTAGTAGAGGATGTACTTCCTGCTCCAGCTCGGGAAGTTTGATTTGATTTGATTTGATTTGATTT